TTTTTGGAAATTATTCCTTATTCCCTCTTGGCAGCTAATGGGCTTTTACCAAGTTTAAATACAAAGTTTATCATAATATTTATGCACCCAATATAGGAGCACCTAAATATATAAAAAATTTCTTGGGGAATTTTCAGGGGGAGAGTGACAGCAACACAATCATAGTGGGGGACTTTAACACCCCACTGTCAGCATTGGACAGATCATCAAGACAAAAAATCAACAGGAGAAAACAGACCTTAAATGACTCACTAGACCTAAGGGATTTAATTGACATTTACAGGACATTTCATCCCAAAGCAGCACAATACACAGTCTTCTCAAGTGCACACGGAACATTCTCAAAAACAGACCACATGTTAGGGAACAAGGGCAAGCCTCTACAAATTCAAGAAGATTGAAATCATATCAAACATCTTTTAGGATCACAATGCCATGAAACTAGAAATCAACCACTATAAAAAACTCAAAAATATTCAAACATTTGGAAGCTAAATAGCATGCTACTAAACAATGAATGGGTTACCAATGAGATCAAGGAAGAAATCAAACACTTCATGGGAAAAAACGAAAATGAACAGACAACAACCTAAAATCTATGGGACACAGCAAAAGCAGTCCTGAGAGGAAAATTCATAGCATTACAGGCATATCTCAAGAAACAAGAAAAAGGTCTAATGAACCATCTAACACAACAACTAAAAGAACTAGAATGAGAACAACAAGAAAAGCCCCGAAGAAGTAGAAGGAAGGAAATAATAAAGATCATAGCAGAAATTAATGACATAGAGACTAAAAAAAAGAATACAAAAAAATCAATGAAACCAAGAGCTTGTTCTTTGAAAAGATAAATAAGATTGACGCACATTTAGCCAAACTCACTAAAAAACAAAGAGAGAGGACCCAAATAAATAAAATCAGAAATGAAAGAGGCGATATAACAACTGACCCAACAGAAATACAAAGGATTGTAAGAAAATACTACAAGCAACTACATGCCAACAAACTGGACAACATGGGTAAAATGGACAAACTCCTAGAAGCATACAACCTTCCAAAGCTGAATCAACAAGAGGCAGAAAACCTGAATAGGCTGATAACAACTAATGAAATTGAAGCAGTAATCAAGAAACTCCTAGCAAACAAAAGTCCTCGGCCAGATGGATTTACAGGTGAGTTTTATCAAACATTCAAAGAAGAATTAACTCCTATTCTATTTAAACTATTCCAGAAAATTCAAAAGGAGGGAAAACTCCCAAACTCTTTTTATGAGGGCAGCATCATCCTAATGCCAAAACCAGATAAAGACACTACAAAGAAAGAAAATTACAGGCCAATATCCCTGATGAACATAGATGCTAAAATCCTTATTAAAATACTACCAAACCGGATCCAGCAAGACATTAAAAAGATCATACATCATGACCAAGTGGAATTTATTCCGGGGATGCAAGGCTGGTATAACATCTGCAAATCAATAAATGTGATACATCACATAAACAAAATGAAGATCAAAAATCATATGATCATATCAACAGACACAGAAAAAGCATTCAACAAAATCCAGCACCCATTTCTGATAAAAACTCTCAGCAAGTGGGAAAAGAGGGATCATACCTCAACATAATAAAGGCCATATATGACAGACCTACAGCCAACATTATACTCGAAAGTCAAAAACTAAAACCATTTCCCTTAAACACTGGAACAAGACAGGGATGTCCACTTTCACCACTCATTCAACATAGTACTGAAAGTCCTTACCACAGCCATCAGACAGGAAGAAAACATAAAAGGTATCCAAATTGGAAAGGAGGAAGTAAAACTGTCATTATTTGCAGATGACATAATATTGTACATAGAAAACCCTAAAGACTCCATCAAAGTACTACTAGATTTGATAAACAAATTCGGCAAGGTAGCTGGATACAAAATCAACATTCAGAAATCAATGGCACTCTTATGTATCAACAATGAACTTTCGGAGAAAGAAAATCAAAAAACAATACCATTTACCATTGCAACTAAAAAAATAAGATACCTAGGAAAAAACTTAACCAAGGATGTAAAAGACCTGTACTCGGAAAACTACAGGACACTGAAAAAAGAAATAGAGGAAGGTTTAAACAAGTGGAAGAATACACCACACTCCTGGACTGGAAGAGTTAATATCATTAAAATGTCCAAAGTACCCAAAGCAATTTATAAATTCAATGCAATTTCTATTAATATACCAACAGCATATTTCACAGATGTAACACAAACATATCGAAAATTTATATGGAACCAAAAAAGACCCTGAATAGCTGCAGCCATCTTGAGGAAAAAAAACAGAGTGGGAGGGATCACTTTACCAGACATCAAACTATACTACAAAGCCACTGTAATCAAAACAGCCTGGCATTGGTACAACAGACATATAGGTCCATGGAACAGAACAGAAACCCCAGAAATAGACCCACACAATTATGTCAGTTAATATTCGACAAAGGAGGCAAGAGCATCCAATGGAGTAAAGACAGTCTCTTCAATAAGTAGTGCTGGGAAAACTGGACAGATACATGCAAAAAAAATGAAACTAGACCAGCAACTTACACCATACACAAAAAGAAACTCAAAATGGATAAAAGACTTAAATATAAGATGCAAAACCATGAAAATCCTGGAAGAAAACATAGGCAGTAAAGTCACAGACATCCCACGTAGTNCTGGACAGATACATGCAAAAAAAATGAAACTAGACCAGCAACTTACACCATACACAAAAAGAAACTCAAAATGGATAAAAGACTTAAATATAAGATGCAAAACCATGAAAATCCTGGAAGAAAACATAGGCAGTAAAGTCACAGACATCCCACGTAGTAGAATTTTCACTGATACATCTCCTAGGGCAAGAGAAACAAAAGAAAAAATAAACACATGGGACTACATCAAACTAAAAAACTTCTGCACAGCAAAAGAAAGCATCCTCAAAATACAAAGAAACCCCAGGGGTGGGAAAACATACTTGCGATGGATGCATCTGATAAGGGTCTAATTTCCAAAGTGTACAAAGAACTCATACTACTCAGCAAGAGGAAGACAGACAATCCAATTAAAAAATGGACAAACGACCTCAATAGACACTTCTCCAAAGAGGACATAAAGATGGCCAAGAGACACATGAGAAAATACTCAATGTTGCTAATCATCAGAAAGATGCAAATTAAAACCACAATGAGGTATCACTTCACACCTGTCAGAATGGCTCCATCAACAAATCAACAAATGACTTGTGCTGGCGAGGGTGTGGAGAAAGGGGAGCCCTGGTACACTGCTGGTGGGAATGCAGACTGGTGCAGCTACTGTGGAAAACAGTGTGGAGGTTCCTCAAAAAATTAAAAATGGAGCTGCCTTTTGACTCAGTGATCCCACTTCTAGGAATATATCCTAAGAACCTGAAACACTAATCAGAAAGAATATATGCACCCCTATGTTCATAGCAGCGCAATTTACAATAGCTAAAATCTAGAAGCAGCCCAAGTGCCCATCAGGAGATGAGTGGACAAAAAAGCTGTGGGACATTCACACCATGGAATACTACGCCGCTGTAAAGAAGAAGGATCTTGTACCCTTTGGGTCAGTATGGAGGGACCTGGAGAATATTATGCTGAGTGAAATAAGCCAGGCAGAGAAAGACAAACATCACATGATTTCACTTATATGTGGACTCTAAAGAACTTAATAAACTGATGAACAGAATAGATTCAATGACATGGAAGCATAGATGAGACTGACGAATCTCAGAGGGATGGAGAAGGGTGTGTGGGTAGAGGGGGAGAGATTTACCAAAGAATTCGCATGCATATGTGCACAACCCAAGGACACGGACAATGGTATGGAGAGGGACTGGGGGGGCAAGGTGGAATGGGTCATTGGGGAGAAGAAAGGACATCTGTAATATTTTAAACAAAAATTAAAAAATAAAATAAATTTTAAAAATTTAAAAAGTATAGCCCACAATTCTTACAGTACATAATATTTGCTAATGATAATAAATAACTATCTTACTGGTTTATGTATTTACTATACTACACTTTTTATTGTTATTTTAGAGTGTATTCTTTTTACTTATAAAAAAAAGTTTGCTGTAAAACTGTGTGCCATGTCATGCCAGCAGCAGCCTCACACATCTTGTGTTTACCACACATCTTGAATGCATCATTTTCTCTTGTGCTTGATTTAGTCTCACGTTGTTTTATAAATTTAATATAGCCTAAATGTACAGTGTTGATAGTCTACAGCAGTATATAGTGATGTCCTAGACCTTCACTTTCACTCACCACTCACTCAACGACACACCAGGGCAACTTCCAATCCTGCAAGCTCCACTTAGGGATGTGCCCCATATAGGTACACCATATTTCAGATCTTTTATACCATATTTTTCCTGTACCTTTTCTATGGTTAGACACACAAATACTTAACCACTGTGCTACAACTGTCCACAGGATTCAGTACAGTAACATGCTGGGCAGGGTTGCAGCACTGGAGGAGGCTACACCACACAACCTAGGTGTGCAGTAGGCTCTACCACACAGGTTTGGGTAAGTGCACTCCATGATGTTTACACAAGGATGAAACTGGCTAACGATGCATTTCTTAGAACAAATCCCTGTTGTTAGGTAGCACATGACTGTATACCCATTTTCTGGACATCCTACAACCATTAAAATGATGCAGAAGAATTCTTTAATAGCAAAGAAAGACTATAAATGTGAGGGTAAGAAAGCAGATTGTATAGTTATTATTTTTACCAAAGAAATACTGTATGTACATATACATATCTATATACAATTATGAAATACAAGGTAGCTCTAATCTTTTTTCTTTTGCTTATAGTTTCTAGAATAATTAAAAATACTTTTATAATAGGCAAAACCCCAAATGTTATTGTTTAAAGCTTTCTCTTCAGAAAAGGAGCCATAATTACTTTAGCCAACATTTTAGTATCCTACCTGAAAGAGTCGTGTAAAGATGTCAAATTCAAAAACTGAAATATAATCATTGCAGGTCAGATCAATAGTGGACTTCAGAGCCATGGCCTCTAGCCCAGAACTGATGGGATGTACTTCATGAAGGGCCTGTCGGAAGTTCTTCCAAGGGACTATAGTCCTGGGTGGGTGAGAAGGCACAGAGTGAGGTGGCAGATAATCCTGGGCATTGCTATAATGAAGGAAAAGAGAGCCACATTAAGCTCTCACATCAGTTTCAATTCTCTTAAAGAAGCGGGGCTACGTTTTGGATTGAGAACAGAAGGGGAATAAATGATATATTTCTTAACTGTCTAATGAGTAAATTAACAACAGAGAAGTCTTTTTCCACTGTTCTTTGGCAGAAGTCACAAAATTAATCTCCTTTCTCGTCTTTCTTTAGACATTTGTTCTATTAGAGAAGTACAGAAAGAGAGACGAGAGTACTCTTTTTATATAATAAATGTGATCTGTGGCCAGACCTTCCCTAATTGAAAGCTTGTGTTTAAACTAACTTTTTAAAAACTATGTAAAACATTATGAGTTCTTTGAGGAACCCACAGCATCAAGGACTAGACAGGCGGAAATAGGCTTAAAGTACAGGAGAACAGAGCTCTCAGATAGATGAGAGAGAAACCATTGAACATAAAGCTGACTAAACCCCAGATACAGATACAGCTAGCAAGAGATATTACAGGGTTTCTCTTCCTTAAGATCTTTAATACAAATAGAGCCTTTGAAAAGCTTACGCATTCGCTTGCCTGAAAAATCGGGCAGGGTGTAGAACTCCTTTCTAATGTAGTTATTAAGTTAAAGGAACAAAGTTAAACTTAGTCACATCCTCTTCAACTAAGTTTAAGTCCGTAATTATTCTATATTTTATATGTAAATATGATTTTTTAAAAATAAAGGTGATATTTAAAGAGAGTTATGTTAGGATCTATATATTTAACTGAAAACTTTTATTGTTTTCTACCTTTTTCAGTTCTTTGATCCAAAATTTCAGATACTTAAGAACATTTATATTAATACTTAAAAACATAAACTTGACTCGTGAATTTGTCTATATACTTTAAAACTTCTGTATTTCAAAAGACAATATAACAAAGTGGAAAGACAAGGCATAGACTAGGAGAACGTATTTGTAATGTAATAAAGAATTAGCACCTACAACAAGAAAAAGACAACCCAACTGGACAATGGAGACGGCAGGAGTAAGAATCCGGACTCGTAAATGTGAGAAGATGCTCAATCTCCCATGTGATTAGTAATATAAAGCAAAATATGATACCAATTCCTATTACCAGTTCCTACAAGCCAAACTGTGAAGCTCCTGGAATTCATGTATACTAATTAAAGGAATATAAACTGGCACAACCACTCTGGAAAGCAATTAGGCAATATTTGGCAAAGCAGAAGATGCACAACCCCCGACTCAGCAACTCCACTCCTAGGTAGGTAAATATGCACAAACTCTTGCATAGGAAGAAAATACAGTTTTGTTCACTGCAGCACTGTTTGCAATAGCAAATAATTTGAAATGTGTCAATTAAGAGCATAATGGGTAGGGCAAGGAAGAGAAGAGCACTCCATCAAAGAGCTTGGGTTTCAACTGAACCTGCAAAAGAATTTCTTTAAAAAAAAGGGGTGTGTGTTAATATTTACCAAAGCTGGGTAATATTTACACACAGTCATTATTTTACTTTGTTTTCCCATGTTTTAAATATTTCATTAACAAAAAACTAAACAAAAACTTACAATACAAACTTTAGTTCTTCATAGTTCAAATTCATGATTTTGATTGAAACTTACTTTTCCCCGAAAGCTTTCCTCCAAAATTCTGCAGCATCTGCTTTAGTAATCCGAAACGTGTCTCCTTGAAAGAGTCCACTTGGGAAGATTCCTTTTAGTTCTGCCAGCATGTGGCTGAAGATCAGGGACAGTTTGGTTAGGTTTCGCCTACAAATGATCAGAAGTACAATAATTAAATAAAGACATAAAATTATTTTTATCTTAAATGTACTCAATTCACCAGTCATGTAGTATATGAACATTAAAGTACATTTATAAAAACCCTCTTCAAATATATACTTTCTGGCCAATATTATCAAAGATATATAAAACTAGGGAAGACGAGAGAAAGGAATGTGCTGTTGACAATATTAAATACAGCTGACCCTTGAACAACATGGGTTTGAATGTGCAGGTCCACATATATGCAAATTTTTTTCAATAAATGCATACAGGAAGGTAAATGTATTTCTCTTCCTTATGATTTTCTTAGTAACATTTTCTTTCTCTAGCTTACTTTATTGTAAGAATACAGTATACAATACATAACATACAAAATATGTGTTAATTAACTATGTCAACAGCGAGCTATTAGTAAAGTTTTTGGGGAGTCAGTCATACACAGATTTTTTTACCGTAGGGGAATGCTCATAGGCACCTCTAACCCCTGCATTATGCAAGGGTCAGCTATACTCTGTGATATTATTATCTTTGTTCAAAGAATGGCTTTAGAACCTGTTTTCACCCTAACATCACAGGAAAGATGCAAACATATGGTGGAAGGACTGGTGACTCCACTCAGTCCACTCCTTCCCCCTACTCTATAAAGAGATGTTGTACAGTAAATAAGAAAAAGTTAATAGTAATATATTTTAAGGCTTTGAATCTTAAATTAAGCAGGCCTACTAATTCTGAGCATAAACTAACAAATAAATTTACTTTTTTAGGATGACATATAAGAGGATTCAATAAATAAATAAGAGCTTGTACACTGCTATAACCACTCAACTCATAAAAGAAATGTTAGAAAAGCAAAATATACTATTTTTTGCTTTGCATAAGCCATTCTGGATAAAAATATTATCATAAAACTCATATAACTTAAAGTTATCAATAAAAAAGACTATTTAAATATCCAGACCTAACAAATATTTTCACTAAGTCAGACCTTAAAGAGGTTTTACAAACACAACTCTTCCTTTCCAAAAATGAAACATTAACATTCAAACTATGTAAAAATGTTTAAGTGCGCGTGTTACTACTGTTTTAATAATTAGTTAACTTTATTCTAATAACCTATTTAATGGATGTGATTATAAAGATGTAGCACAGTACCAATTTAATCTCCCTTTTAGTTATATCCTTTAAGCAATAATCAGAGATGCTCTTAGATATTACTATACACCAGAATAGCTACTGGCTGCACTTGCTTGTTTTCCCTTGCCTCAATATTAGCAGTTATGTATTCAAAAGTCTATTCTTGTCATATAAATTGACTATAAAATTTCAAGTAAATTCATGATCAAATTTGATTGCCTAAAAATTTTCTTTAATACAGATTTCTTTTTTTTATGCTATCCTGGAGTCATCATCAGTCCCACCTTTGTTTTTCCTGGATAAAATGCTGTACCAAAGAGACCGACTCTCTCTAGCCTGACTTTTCTGCAAAATGCTGCTGAAATCTTTCTAGCCAGAATGCCAACAAATCAGCTTCAGTTTTTTATATTTTTCTTCTTGTACTTGTAGCAAGTTATTCTTTCCAGTTTCCTATTTGTTTTCTGAAAGCACCTACAAAATATTAATATCCTATGAAGACAGCCTAAAATAATTCATATGCTTTTAAAAATCTAAATAGTATAAGACAAAAACACAAGCACTTATTTAATTCCTAAACGCCACTACTGTTTTCCTCCTTGCACTTTGAGAGCCTTCATTTATTGCTGATTAGGACTTCTACTATTTCAAAAATAAAAAGAGAAAAGATCAGGAATATATCACAGAGGAATTCTGAATCAGATAACTCGGTAGTAAATCTTCAAAGCACAAATTATTCCCAGTGACTTTACTTACTATTCCAGCAGGACATCAGACTGCATGCGCAGTGCACAGAGCCTCGATATCAATATAACATACTGCCAAATGTTAATTTTTAAAGACAGGCAGGTAAGAGTCCACAAATCCCTTATGATATGATATGCTAAACTGTTATAACCTACTATGTGTAAAGAACTATGCTAAACAGTACATCAGAATAATGTATGATATGACAGAAAAAATATAAGGTGTCCCTCAAAAATGTAGACACTCTTTAACAGCTGATGATTCACTTAATTTTCACTCCTTTTCAGGATTAACTGACTTGAAATAATGGGTGAAGCCAGACTAAGCTTTGAACAAAGAAAATTTATCCTAAAGTGCCACTAGACCTTTTTTATGGGGACACATAAAAGATAAAGTTTATGGTACAAAACCGGCAACAGTAGACGGACACACTGAGGGCACACAAATGCCAAACAAAATGATTCTTGGTGTTTGCAATTCCATTACTTTGTGTTATCAGCAGGGCTGGACCAGAACAGTCATGAGCAGTTTGAAAACAGGCATTGACAAAAAGAATTATTCATTTCTGTAGATTCTTTTAAATTTTGAAAATGAACTATATGTTAATAAACACTGACTTTATAATCATTCAAAGTGCATTTACATTTTTGAGGGACACCCTGTATATATCACCACTCCCAAGATTACAACAGAGCTCTTTCTGGAGGAAAGGGGTTTGAATCTTCTTCCTAAAAATATCTTTCCTTGGTTTCTCCAATGGTGCCCTCCCTTGGTTCTCCTACTTGCTCTTGTCCTTTCTTTGGCTTTCTTCCTATTCTCTTAATAGAGTTATTTCCCAGAATTTGCTCTCTGCTATTTTCCTTTCTTTCTCTGTTACTTTCTTCACCCTTCCTATGCAATCTCAAGGCTTTAAACACTACTTTGCAAATGGTTCCCAACTCTTAGGCCTGGCAGCTTTCCATCTGCCTACCACATTTCTCCATTCAAATGCAAGCCACCTCAAAGCAACAGGTTCAAAATTAATCTTCCTTCTCAAGACTGTTCTTTCTTCATGTTCCCTATTTCTGTATTTAATGACACCACCCCCTCACTTCCTTCCCACAACTCAAAACCTCCAGTGGCTTCTTCCATTTCCCTTACTCTCTGTATCTGATTTACTTTTCAATCTGCTGGGCACTTATTGTCAATCCTACCTGAATTACATTATTATTCTAATATACTCTCCTTGCTACCTTACCTAACTATTCCATAATTCAAACTTCAGTCTCTTCCTATGCATGCCCAATCATACCACATAGAACTGCCTTTGCCTTTTAAGGAGGGGAGAAAACAACTTCCACGGTGCCAATGGGACAAAACCCAAGCTCAGCTTTAATTTTAAGACTTTCCACTGACCTGGATCTAAGCAACCTTTCTAACTGACTTCTTAGCTCTTCACTGGTATATTCCAGCCAAACTGGATACTTTACCTTTTCTTACATGTACTCTATGTACTCTATGTACTCACTCACTCTACCTCTAAGCCTCTGCTTATCCATTCCCTTGTCTGAAATAAGACACAGCTTAAATGTCATTTCTTGAGAGGCCAGCTGCAAGTACTAAATCTCCAAAACATCCCTGGCCCTTTCACTGCAAATCTCTCAGTCACCTGAACCCATCTTCTACTACAGTTATCTGTGTACATGGAGGTGAATCCATTTCTGATGTGTATTTACTTACATCCCTTTGGGCATCTGGCATAATTTCTAACCTTCATTATAGCAGAAAACATCTGAATGCCTACTACATGCTGCTAGGTATTGAGGATGGATACAATGAACAAAACAACATCCCTAGTATTATGGCATTTAAATCCCCATGGGATAGTATCGGGTGGAGGGAGAAAAGTGCTTTGAAGAAAAACAAGGCAGGATATGAAAGAGTCACAGAGAGTTGGAGGGTTGCCATTTTAGAGAGGGTAGTCTCAGGAACTTCTAGAGGATTGATTCTTTAGCCAAGTCTGAAGTAAAGACAGGAAGTGAGTCTTGGGATGCCTGGGCCTTGTCGGCACCTTTGACTCTTCAAATAATTTCCCATTGAGAGTCTACCAGGTATCCAGCACTCTGCCGGCCCAGAGATAAAACACATACCAAATGGACAGAAAGCTTTCTTAATTTGTGAAGTAAGCCACAAAGACAGGAAAGGTATTGACCACAGGATATAATGACACCAGGTACCCACAAGCAGTTCAAAGTGCTGACTGAAATAGGTACTGAAAACCAATTTAAGACAATTTCTTACTCAAGAATGCATCCTACCCAAAAAGCCAGCTTATATTTCTTAAAACCAACAGAGATGTGTATCATAAGCCTCACACTTCTTAAAAGGAAATAAGGAATCTATAGAAGCCCATGGGTCAGAGCATTTTGTAACTGAATCTGAGTTGAAATTCTGCTCAATAACATTTTAAGGCCTTAGGCTTATGCTTCAGTGTCTACAGTGGATAGGGCAGAGTTTAGTTAGCAGAACCTGCCTAAAATGTACTTAGAACAATAAATCATGATGGCTCTTTGGGCTTACTGCAAGGTAGTCAATGCTTTTCAAAATTCTCTCAGCAGTTACTTCAATTCCTACAATATGTTCTAACAATTCTCCAAAGACACACGGAGGAGCACTACTATTAAATACTTTGTGAATGCCCTGAAGAGAAAACTTGTCTTTTTTAATTTCCAGCAGAAACAAGTAGTACAAGTTTTTCTTTAACTCAGAATTTGAAGGTCGTTTTTACTACCTCTAATCCTAACCACTTACATCTAAGCAACTGCAAATTCTACTCTATAACTTCCATCTTTCTCTTCTTTCCCGTCACAACTTCCCCATAATCAAATGCTGATTCTGTAAGTAATGACAATTTATTTTTAAGTTCAAGACTGGTGTCAGGCCCTAGCTGGTTTGGCTCAGTGGTTAGAGTCGGCCTACAGACTGAAGGGTCTTGGGTTCAATTCCAGCCAAGGGCACGTACCTCGGTTGCAGGCTCCATCCCCGCCCCATTTTGGGCGCATGTGGGAGGCAACCAGTACATGGACACTTCCCTCACCCCCACCCCCTCTGAAAAAGTAATGGAAAAA